TTACCGAAACGAACTGTTTCGGTAACCAGCGTAATCGAGTGGATCACCAGTGCATTTCGCAAGGCTGCATATAGCAGATTCCTTCATGTAAGGAGGCCTTAAGCAAAATATGTTCAAACTGTATTTGCCAACCTAATATGCAGGCAAAGTTTGTGGGTTCACATGTACTTTATTTCTGCCAGGACATGGTACACATTGAGGTGAGAATTTGAACTTACGTTCAGGTAATGAAGATTTGGTTTGATAGATAAGTTTATAAGTTCTCCTCCACAAAAACAAACAGTAAAATCATAAAACTTCCTTTGAGTTTTCAAATAAGATTGTTTATCTTCATGGATTATGATTCCTTAATACTGAGAACCCCTCCCCAACAGAATGCGACAGGATTCACCTTCTTGCAGCATGTTATTACAGCTATGGGGATCTGAATTCTAAAATATGAGAGATGCTCTGAAGCTGTGCTGCAAAGATGTTAATCAAGCTGTCTTGAATCAAAAGAGAATCAAATCAATGTTTTTACTGTGAGGTGTGTAGCTGGGTTTAACCTACATGTAAATATTGGCAAGGGTTATCTAAGAAAAATGAGGCCCAAAATGAGACCTAGTTTTAGGCCCAAAAATATTCTACAAATTATTTTTAAAGCCCATTTATTATTGGTCATTCTAAGGGAGGAAGATGGCTCCCTGTCAATAAATAAATGTACAGTATATTAATTATTTGAGTCAAATCAAAGGGAACTCAAAACAAAATAGATATACAAAGATAATGAAATAAGCTACTCACATCTTAAATATTGATCATGTATATTTTCTATTCCAGATTGTTAATCAATTAATATTATAGAGTAATTTTACGTGAAAGAAATAAAATCTCTTGAAGCATTATACTGCCTTAGGCTGATTGGATAAATGTCTGTCCTTGTGCTGAACTGATTAGGCCTAAATCCTGTTCTTTATTGACACAGCTGATAAACAATAAACAATTAACTCAAAGTCTGAAAGTCCACGAAAACTTCTATTATTCAAGGCTAAAAGTACCATTTGGGTTATCAACCTTTTCACTATGCTTCACATAATGACCATCAGCCTTTTCACTAATGTATATATGATGACTAAGAATATCTATATGAGGAGAGGGGGCAAATTGTAAATGATCGAGTTACAAATGACCAATATTTGGGCCAATCTGACTTTATTTTACAAAAATTGTACTTTTTGCTCTTTTAAATTGGCATTATCAGATCTACATGTAATGGCCAACCTCTAACTTACCACTCTCAAAGGTATCTCTTTAATATCCAATCATATTGATTAAAATACATGTATAATCCAAGGTCTTTAATTGAATAAGTGACTCAAATGCAAATTGGGATATTTATAGTTCAATGTCAAGATAATGAGAAATCTCTTAAGACTTCAACCTAAACGTAATTAATACTGTACATAAATGCTTATAGATATTTCATTATGAATGATGGTATTCAAAATCAAATGCAATGCTTCACAGAATTTTTTCAACAATGTGCAAAATTCTAACTGGACAACAGCAACGCCAAAGCGTAGCAAATCCCATCGAACAGCCATGGCTGGTATTTTTACAAACAAAGTATATAGCAAAAATGGCAGCCATTTTTCAAATTGGCCACTATCTACCAAAAGTGTCATTAGACAGTGTGCCATGCTTATAGCATTCACATACCAAATATGAACAAAATCGCTCCACTACTTTTCGAGTTATAGTAAAATACGTAAAAATGGCGGTCATTTTTCAAAATAGCCACCTTCTACCAAAAGTGTCATTAGACAGTGTGCCATACTTATAGTATTCACATACCAAATATGAACAAAACTGCTCCACTACTTTTCGAGTTATAGTAAAATACGTTAAAATGGTGGCCATTTTTCAAAATGACCGCCTTCTACCAAAAGTGTCATTGAACAGTGTGCCATGCTTATAGTATTCACCTACCAAATAAGAACAAAATCGCTCCACTACTTTTCGAGTTACAGCAAAAACCGTAAAATAGCGAGTAAAGGCCGCCATTTTTCATTCACTTCATTTTAGTTGTTTGTAATATGGCAATCTCTCAATAACTGCAAGGAAAATGAACACCAACATTCATGTATTTATTCACGGTTGAATCACGAAGTATGAATTAGTGTATAAATAATTTCTGTACGGTCAAGGTATTTTGAAATGATTTAATAATAGAACGAGGTCATGTATGAGTGGATTGTTTTCTTGGGTATTGAAAGGTTTTGTAGGCGTCATCTCGGTTCTAAACGCCAAAGCGGGTGGACTAAACTTTACATTATTTTAGAATAACGTGTATTTAGTTTATTGTATGTTCAAAAAATAATTACCATGGTTGTTAGGTAAATACTTGTAGAAGTTCAAATCCTCACACTGCTCCTTTTCATGGAGAGGTGGACCTCCCTATAGAATTTTCTGTAAAGTACGCGCTGGTGTATTGCAGTTTTTATATAAAGGGTTGGGTTCCCGGATCAGGAGCCGGTGCAACAGTTGCATCGTTAACAACTTTGGTCACAGACAAACCATTTTATTCAAGTGCAAAATAGCAACTCTTGTATCAGCAAAATAGTTTGTAGACGCTAATTAAATACATAATAATCGATAAAGATCGCATTGTAATCATGTTAATTAATCTTGAAAGATGATGATGATATTGTATTTGTCAGTTGGAATAAACGGTTACTGCAGCTCCACTCTCGGCGCTTGGCGCAGAACCATACCTAAGAGGATGTGTGTTAGGTTTTTTATTGAGAATGAAGAAGCTTTATTAGGACAGAATTCATACTAATTTGAGTGAGCAATATTTAGAAACCATGGAGATTTTGCTTTAAATTGAATTTTATTTGTTGCATCATTTGTTATTTTTTCAGCTTTAGTATTGTTAAGAGTATGTTCTATTTGTGATTATATTAGTTATTATTAAATGATTCAGTAGGGGAAGTGGTCCTAATTATCGCACGGTCCTAATTATCGCACGATTGTCCTAAATAGCTAAAATATGCACCCACCATCTTTTAAACCAGTGTTACGAAAAACAGTTCAACACCATTACTCCCAATCTTCATGATTTATTCATATATTTAGAAATATCTCTTCATTTTTTAAGAATTGTTAACTTCCGCCATTGTCATAAATGCTTTTGCGCAAGAAGTGAAATTCGTCTGACAAATTTTGACCCCCTCCAAATAAAGACAGAAAAGTAAGTGTATAATGTATATTTTGTTGATATTTTACACTAAAACTGATAGAAAAATGATTACAGCATATGTATGTATCTGTTATAAACAGAGAAATGTATACAGTATCGTGAAATGACATCTGAAACATAACTGTGCGATAATTAGGACGACTGTGCGATAATTAGGACCACCGCACATGCGAGTCTAAGGGGTCTTAAAGTGTTAGCGTTCGGAGATTGAGAAATGTCAAACACTACTAAGATTTTAGAGGAAAGGTTGATCTTTCGTCTCATATTCTCAAAGTAAGTTGAAGTTATCATATTTGAAATCGTCAGTAGTTTCCCTGAGTACCTGTGCGATGATAGGACGACTTCCCCTACTATATTCCAGGCCCTCAGATATCAACCATTTGACATTTACAATTAAAGGATATATACTGTTATAGTATGCAACTGAATATATCATGGGCAAAAGAAACAATGAGTCCATAATGCAAAATCAGTTTTCCAATGGTGTTTTTTATGTTCTTTTCGAAAGAAAACCTAAAAATGCTCACATTTTGTTTGTAGATTTGTTGGAGCATCAATGTATTGTGGGGGCACGAAATTCATCTCCAGACCAAATCTATTACTTTTTGTCAATAGATAATACCCTTTCCTTGAAACAGTCTGGTGATTTTGAACAATTTGTAAGACATTGTTCCATTTGAACAGGTTAACCACAATGGAGCATTTATTGAGTAGGAGAATGTTATTATTTCAAGACTAGGTTTTTTGGTGATCAGATCACAATTTTGACCATGCAATGGTATCTTTTACCTTGGAGAAAGTACCAAATTATATCTTGGTAGTCTTAATTTTGAGTCAACTAGTAATAATATAGGCCTATATTAAACAATTTTAAAATAACTTTTATGTTTACCCAGGAAGGTGTTCTTAACTTGTAGTTTGTGGCTTCAGGAGTCGCTCATACTCATTCTATTTTTACAAAGCTAAATATGCAATCAGAAGGGAACTTCAGTATGTTCTGATAAACATACCAGTTATTTTAGATTGATAGGGATTGCCCCAATTCACAAGTTAGGTTTTCACAATTTTAATAACTGCTTAGCTGTGGCGCTCAATCCATTCTCATCTGAATGTCTATTCTATTATAAGAGAGCTAAAATCCATATATTTAGTGAAAAGCCAATAGTATTTATGGAAGTGGTAGAATAACAAATCAAATTATCTCAAACATGAAAAGTCAGCCCCTACATGTACATGTAAGTAAAATATGAATATAACAATCGTCGATATGTATATAAATGTATGAGCATGGGGTTTCAAGAGAAAGCTTTCTTGAGCCTATGATGTGAAGCAATTTACATGTCATTTTGCAATTATTATTACTTCTGAGTGCTGCTCTGTTTGAAATTAGAACAAAAACCCTATGGTCTGTCTGTAACAGCAATTTGTACAGCTGACGTCCGTGAGGCGTGAAGGTGCAATGAAATGTCATATCATCATCATTTGTTGCCTGCATATCTCGTCATCATATTATTCTTTTAGTCATAAAAAATCTACAACTATATTGACAGACTTAGCTCCCCGCTCTCATGGCTCTATCAAAGATTTTTCAATACATCTTTCTTTTTTTTCATTTGTTGACCAAGAAATTCTGAACTTTTTTCTTTCTCGAAAATTTTTATGCACACTTATTTGTCATGATATAGACTCAATCTCAATGAAAACTCTCAAATTACCAGAACATCTAAATGCTTGAATGTTTTATATATTATTTACTCACCGACAAATGACATATATCAGCTAAAATGACTTCAAAACATCACATTTGCCTGCCACGTTCGTAATATTTTGATTGTTCCAGAATCCGACTTTTCAACGACATTTGCTAGAAATTTACGACATTCGAATCTACTTTGGTTGGACCATTCTTCGGCTTATAAACGTGTCAAAATTATGTTATGCAGATGAAATATATGCGGATACAATTCTGCCCTGTTCTCATACACTACCTTCCCGTTAGATACGGTATTTATTCCATATTCTGTAGGCCTAATATCGTGACGTTTCTTCAGGGGTCAAGGACATTGCCATTTTGTCAACAAATGATGTTTGAATTATGCAGTATTTCAACCTTTATTTTGACCTGTTCTGTATGTATTTCATGGTATATATACGTGCTTTACAGACGGAGAAATGTCAGTAAGCCTAAATGTGCAGCATCTACAATGATTGTCCTTGGTTCAGGTATATTTTTTGATATTATATGTGAACACATTTTTCATGTTCAAAATCTAGCCTACAGAGTGAGCCAAAAAAGGTAACTCAAACAAGTATCAATAACTCTGTCATTCAGTATGAGTAACCAAACCTGTCTGGCCCAGTTATCTACTCCTGACGTCGTAGATCTGGGCCAGACGAGGTCCAATGCAAAAAAAGGGGGATTTACTCCGGAAAAAACATGTCGCTGAATCATTACTCATTATTCATTCCCTATTAGCCATCCAACCAAAACATCGGGCTCCATGTAAACCCAAGTATTTATTTGAAATAAAGAGTATATAATGTAACGACCCTTGATAGCAAGTTGCTACTACAGTCCAGCTGTAGTGGCTTAAAGACTCACCCCCGCTATAAAAGGCCTGAATCAGTTGAAAAAACATGGCTGAATTCAAAATTTAGACAAAATCTGAGCTCACTGACATTTTCCTCATTTTCTCTAGTTATAGAAACCCTATCACTCTATAAATTGTCACAGTTATCTATGAATATAGGAGGCATTGAAACATGTTAAATCCAGTCCAAGATATTATTTACTTTTGTAATTATTACTGTTTAATTTCTGATATTGGAACAACTGAGAAGGAGGAGCCTATTTTGAAATGAGCCAATCACAACAGGCGATCCGTGCATATTTAGAGGTCAACAAAAGCACATGGCCTAAAATATCTGCAGTAAATGAAGTATTATTGATATTAACTTACCCTGATCCTGGCTGAGGCATTTCAAGTGATGTGATCTTTATATATCCAACAGTGATAGTTAATCCAATTACATGCACATAGTCATGTTGTATTTATATGTTATTAATCTTGTAAATAATCTATGGAATGTGGTAAAGTATAAGTATATTGTATAATTAAAATATAGAATCCATCCATTTGTTCCAAATATTGTTTTTGTAATTAGTTGTGTAGTCCTTCAAAACTTTTCTTTGTTTGAAGGGATTCAGTGGATCATCAATTTCAGTAATGCTGGAATAATCACGGTCTACATTTTCATTCCAGTGGACGACAGCTAGATTAGTTCTTATTTCGAATTGTTGCTTTTTAAAGACAACACGCTTATCATGGAAAATATTCAACGTATTGTTGAAGCTCTCAACATAAAATGTGTCCATAGCTTCTGTATAATGTTCAGCGTGTCTATAAATTTCTGTTTTTTTAATTGATGATAATAATAATTGTTCTGCAATGGGTGAGGTGATTCTAATTTTCTCTAATCTGTAGTTGATATTTGTTTTACAGCTTGATATGGCATCGCAATTTAAATGGTTGTCCTTATAATGGTTTGGAATTTGCTCTAGTTTCATCCTGATTGTATTCGGATTCTTATCACAGTTTCGAATAACTTGCTGTGCTCTTTTTCGTGCCCCATCGGGTTTGTCTATGAGTTCCGAGTGCCACGTCTCGCCATCTTTATATTTGGGCCCCTTACAAACTTTGTTTATTTCACGACTGAATGACTTTGCCGCATGCCATGTGTCATTCTGGTTTAAAGTTTCCTTGCCACCAGGTCCTCTGTGCTCACGGATTATTTTATTGATTGTACCGTTGTTGTCATGGGCATGAATATTTATTTTAACTTGTTCAGCATCAAAAAATTCATACATCCGTTTAGTACCCAATGCCTCATGCTTTTGAGATGACATTTCATCTTCCTTTGAAACATGTTCAGAACGTATAACTCTGTGTTTGTTGTGGCCCAAACATATCACATCACAATCAAACGCATTTCTTCTACCACCATGTCGAGCATCCGTCATGATATTGATACCATTTGCCTCGACATCAGGATACGTCCCCTTTTCTTCATCTAAGGCAGCTTTGCAAGATTCTTTCATCGCTTCACTGATATGAGAAGATAATTCATTTGTATAAGTCTTCTCTTTTCTCCAACCTAGATGGCCCATACCGACTGCTTTAACAACATTCTCATATTGTGAAGGCAGTAGCCCACTTGTCAACTGTCCAAAGAAAAAACGAAGATTGACGTAAGCCTCGCTATTTGGTAAGTGGGGTGAGGAAGGCCATCTTACATAATGTTCGCTGACCTGGCATTTAAATGCAATTGTTGCTGCATGTCCATGTAATACTACTTCTTGCAACTGAAGTTCCGCTTGACATATTCTGCTATGATGTTCAACTAAACTTACAAGTTTTTTGACAGTTTTTTCAGTTGTAAAAAATATTGGTTGCTCAGTTTCATGTCTCTCTAGTGGTGTGTACCAAGACTCTGGCTCAAGATTGCCTTCAGATGATGCTGAAGTATGTGTGTTGCTACTTGCAGATGGCATATTGTGTGTTAGCCAATAGTCTAATGCTATTTCTATGGCATCTACATTGCCATTCAGGTGTAAAAACTTCTTTATTTTACTCGTTTTTCCAAGCAAAGTTTCCTTCTTCTCTTGACCTCCTGCACATTCAATTGAGAATCTTGAGGAACGCCCATGCTTTTCTCTATATTCCTTCTTTTTCTTAGCTTTACTTGCCATCATACAGTTTAGGATTGCTACAATGTGTGTCTTGCCTAGTAACTGTTAGTAAGATATGTGAAAAGGCACAAATGTAACAGTTGAAAACACATGGCAATTTAGGCAAAGGGTGTACCTTAGGGATGTGACAGTGTGGGAAATATATAACCATAATTATATTTATTTTAGTTATTAAGCTAGGGAGTGCAAAAATGATAAGCCATATTTTATTGTTGCATTATAACCACATTTCTTTTTTGTTCTTACTCAAATTCTAGCCATAATTTAATGATGAAAGTTCAGAAAAATAAAAAATCCAGGTAACTGTTTGCAACTTATGCCATGAGGCACATAAGTGGTACAGCCCCAATTAAAAATCTCAGAGGTCTAGGATTTGCCTGCTTTCACCACTTAGCTATAAAATTGAAAAATTGGGAAATTCAAGAGATTTTCTACATGCCTCATTGACAAAGTCAGGGAGTCATGTTTATTAATTATCAATCATGGTCACATCAATAGAAACCTAGATTTGGACCTTACAAGAGTTCATGTGGATGTACCATATCATGAACACAGGGGTGAACAAATTACACTCTTCCACATATGAAGATTATATGTTAGATTTCTGGTGACATTCAACATTTAATGTACCTTCCCGAGTGAGTATATCTGAGATTCCAGATGATGAATCCACCAGAGAGTATTTATTATTAAAACCTCCAAGAATTGGAGAAAGCCTTGGTTTTCCCATAGTAATATACATTTATCAAGCTGCATTTCACTGGTCTTTCAGATTCTAAAAACTAAATCTATGATCCAAGAAACAGTGTCATTTTATGTTTGAAGTTCAAGCAGTGAAATGGAAAGCAGAACTTACAGCTTGAAGATAAATGTAACTGAGGAACAGAGGTTAGTGATAGAATCCCTATATGATCACTATGACTGGAACTTTGACCCCATTGAGGACAGCTACAAGAACAGTAGGTTGAATAATACAGAAAAAACAGTAAATGTGAATAGAAGAAAAGCAGCAAAGAGGAAAACATCAGCTAGTATCTCTTCAGAAACAGTAGCAATTTGTTCTTTAGAAACAGTAGCCACTGATTCTTCAACAGAAGACGAAAGTCAAGCAAGTCAGTCAATCAGCATTTTGACTGGTATGATACCACAACATGTATCTACAGAGCCTCCGCAGCCTCCTAACAATGATTCCCCTAGTTCTAATGAAGAGTCACATGATTGTCCGCATTGTTTCTGGAACCCATGTGTTGTCAATGAAGCCAAGTATGAGCCATTTTGGAGGACAACAAATGCAACTCCATCATTGTCAAACATTATAACAAGGAGAAAACTGTACAAGGAATTTTGGAGAATGATAAACAATCTAGGACTATGGAGACATCCTAACTATTTAACCAAAAAGGCAGCTTCCAAAAGTAGTGACAGAAGTATAATATACCATAAAAGGGAGATAATGCCCACATGTGTTGTCACACAAGTGAGAGAATGGTTCCCGAATCCACCTGGCATTGAATATAAAGGACATGTTTACCAGTGAATGGATATAAGTTCAGCTAGACTTACACAATGAAATATTCTTATTCGGATTAATTAAATATAATAGTATACACATTAACTATAGTAACTACTATTTGGATTATATGCTCTTATAATATTGTTTAGTGGATTATTAAATGAGAAACCAATGCATATATATGTGAGTACAAAATTTTACTGCTATGTTATTGTTTACTATTTTGGTGGCCATTTTTAAAAATCTTGTTTTGAAGGCTGTGATTGGCTCAATCGGTGTGAATTTCTATTGGTTAATGAAAACTACTTTTTGATTGGATAACAGGACCCAGGGTCTTGGTTCTGTGTCTTTAAGCCTTTATAGCTCAGTCGGTAGAGCATCGGTCTTTGGATCCAAGGGTCCTAGGTTCGATTCCCACACGGGGCATTGAATTTAGCACACTTTCTTTCAATTTCTTTATCTGGCTTGTTACACTAGGCTCGTTAGTTAGACATTCCCCTGGGGCGCCATCGGGTCATTACAATAACTTACACGTAAATGTGGTGTTTGGTTTGTTATATTGATGTTGAAATGGGCACAAGATTTCGTCAATATTTTTATCAGTTCTCTGCATCGAATAAAGTCACGTGATGTGACGTAACATAAGTGAGACGCGATGATTTTTTAACTTTCATGGAACGAAAATACATTTCCCGGGAACCAATACATCCCAAATATTACGATTTCTTCAGCAGATTTATTATCAAAATGTAGATTACTTTATAAAACAGACGTATCTGTGTCTGCCCTGTCAACCCTCACGCATTAGGCGTGATTGTCACACATTTGCCGGAAAAATAGAAATCACGCATCAGTTTAGCGTGACATTTAATATGATCAAATATCACGCAAATCACGCATTTTGTTGATATCTTTAAAAACCGTTTTTTGTAAAATGCCAATACGGTAAAATACCGAACGGCGAAAAACAGCGAACGCATTCCGTGTATATATCACGCATTTGTTTCGAAAATATTTACACCTATTTTATGCAGCCGAGACTTCTCGATATTCTACGAGATCACGAACAGATTGCAGAAGAATTTTTCTTTTTGCTGCGTTTAATTGTTTCGTTCTTATTTATTAGCCGTCATCCAGCGATGGAAACCTAATATAAAAACAAAGTTTGATACAAGGAACAAACACGTGAGGGTTTTTTATGATGTTTATTCATTTATCAGCACGTATTGTACATTGAAAAACCAGTGTGTTTTTCCGGAGTAAATCCCCCCTTTTTTGCATTGGATCTCATCTGGCCCAGATCTACGAGTTCAGGAGTAGATAACTGGGCCAGACGGGTTTGGTTATCAGTATGGGTTGAGTGTCATATTTGGCACAATTAAGCCTGCCTTGTGCACTGTTCTTTCATTCTGTTAGTATGAATAGTATATTTCCAATGGTCATCTTCATTCTTATCTCTTGTTTCATTGTTTTAAAGGTTGTTACAGTGTACATGTCCCGGGCATGTACATGTAGTGTAGACATAAGGCCCACAGATAAGATTCTGGTGGGATTTATGTCCAGTAGGTGTGGCACATTCTGGCTTTTGGAGCATGTTAATGGCCATAAAATGGTGACTATTAGATATAGACCAATGAAATTTAGTAGAAGGAAACAAAAATGAGCAAGGCTAATTGTGCCAAATATGATTTTAATCCCATGCTGAATAACTGAGTTATTAACATAGATTTGTTTGGGTTACACTCTTTTGTCTCACCCTGTATACTAACTCTTGTCTTGTCTATATCTAATCATGGGCTTTCTCCTGGAGGTCCAATGCTCTTATGTAGTTGTGTATTGGATGCAAATTAATGACACCACCACAATCACAATCATGATACCATCCATTTTTTATTATGTTGCATTGTTTTTGGTCATATGTAACTACCTGTACTGTATTTAGCAGTGATTCTAATAGTGTGGACATAATCGACCCTGACTCAAATGTCTTATTCACAATTTCATCTTCAACGTTGTCCCTGAGCTGAAAAGTAAGATATTTTTATGATATTCACAGATCCACCATGTGTCTACTTACCAGTATGCAATAGTTCCTTGGGGTTACCTGTATTTTACAGGCGACCAGGCGACCCAGGTGGGCGCTTTTATCTTTTTCATAGGGGTGGTAGGATCAAAAACACATTCCAAAATTATTTTATTGCATGATTATCTCTGAGATTCTGTCGTCGTGTAACTATATATGGTGGTTGGTACTTGGTGGTATACGCAATATTGTAGCAGCAAATTGGAATCTGTTCAAATAAAACGAGAGCGATAGCGATGTATGGGTCTGGTCTACTGCGCGCTGATTGGTCAACATCAGAGACATCAGGGTCAAGTGAGGTCACCTGCTTGACCACTGAGAACATTAAGTTTAGAGAAGATCGGGACAAACTGAGCATGGCATAAGTAAACTGAACAATATTGCAAAATATTGCACAGGATTTAAAAGGCCGAAACTGTTTGGAAAGTTCCTAAATTTAGTGTAATTAAAATCTTGACCGGAAGTCAGGAGGAGTGAGTAGCTCCCATAACTCTTTCATATTCTATCGTATTCGGGGATTCCCCATTACATCATCTCTTGCATCATCTCCAATCAAATTGCAGGATTCAATCATATGAACAATCATGAGCACGTGCTCTCTCAGTGCTGCGCATGTGCAGAGTTAAATTTGGAATCGTGGGAATGGCGTTAACATCAGTTCAACATCATCATTTCAAACCTACGGTAATACTATTGAAGTTACTCGATCCATACTTGTAGAGAATACTCATAAAACTACAGTGAACATTTGGAGATCCATTTCAACAGCAAATTGAGGCCTGTTTATAAAATTTGTTTTCGAACGTGCTAATATGATAGGTCATCTTTGGGAAATCTCCCCCCCCCCCTGACGGAAGTTAAAAATCCAGTGTCCTTGACCTGACCGGAAGACGACAACAACAAGATAATGCAGCAAACTCTTTGTCAAGATCTGCTTGGAGAAAAAAGTTGCCTAGCCCTGATACCCAGGCCTGATACGTAATGTTAGCTTTTTTTGTTATGACAACATAATCTCAAAGATAGTCCATGAATTAATTTCGGAATGTGTTTTTGATCCTACCACCCCTATGAAAAAAATAAAAGTGCCCGCCTGTGTCTCCTGGTCGCTTGTAAAATACAGGTAACTGTTCCTTGGACACCCAACATTGTGAGACTCCTTCCAACTTTTTCTAAGTTACCATTTTACCACAATTTCAGTCTAGTACAATATAGGATAGATGGTGCTGACTGTAATAACTCTGTTTGCACTTCTTGTTACCAGGTGGGCATACAACAGAGATGTTGAGGTTACTAAGTGGCATGGGAGACAAGTACTACCCAAGATACTACATCATAGCAGACTCCGATAGAATAAGTCAAGAAAAAGCTATTGCTTTTGAAGAAAAACAACAGATTAACAAAGAATCTCAAAATGTAGGTTGCTGCGTCATTGAACAGCAATAGTCTTGCTTCAAGACCCCCCTCTTTCTCTCTTATCCACTTTACTACAACTGTTTTAATAGATAAGGGATTAGAGAG